TATTAAATTCTTATTTTCCAAAAATGTTATTATTAGTTGTACCATAAAAAGTCATATAAGAAGGTGATAAAAAAAATATAATCTCTCTATTAAAAAAATAGGGTTGAGATGCAATTTAAATCCGAAATTATAAATTTAAAGTGATTTGAGCTCTAAAGTCATAATTGATATATTTTGAACTCTGGACAGTTGAACTTAGGACATCCTCATCCCTACCATTAATTTGGTTCGATGCTAATCATTAGCTAAGGAGATGAAAAATTTTTTTTTTACTAGATTTTGCCTAACTGTCATGCCAATTGTATAGGTTAATATCTTCAAATAGGTATAATGGTATGTGCGCATGCGCTTACTTCACTTGAACTAGTATGAGTGCACTCTCTTCACCTTCTCCCCTCCCCTCTCTCTCTCTTCACCTCCCTCCACACTCTCCAGTATGTATGCGCTCACCTTCACTTGAACTATACTACTGATGTCACTGTAGGTATAACTGATGGAATCATAATGTGAAGAAGAAGAAGTAGGAGATGAAGAAGAAGGAAGAGAGTTGAAAGAGATCGCACTTGATGGAGTCTAGTTGGAGTTCTCTATGAGTGATTCTATGCCTGAAGATCTCCTCCTCTATTTTCCAAAGTTTTTAGGAGTAGGAGATGGCCTAGGCTTTTTGACATCTCAATAAGTGGATGGTCTTCAATCGCTTCGAGCTGATTCCAGATGAGTTGATTCTTTCTTGTGTGGCTCTCTCTCTGTTGCCCCCTACCCTTCTTAAAATGATTGAAGCTTGTGATTTTCCAATTATGTTTGTGGATAAAGATATGGAATGTATCACTTGAATCTTGATCTTTGTACAAGTGAGAAATAAATGAATCAGTTCAAACATAAGAATTTAATAATTTAATGAAAAAGATATGTGGATGTAGGATATTGTTACGAGTAGTTAGGCTTTCAATAAAAAAATTAAAATAAATTGTGAATATCCTTTACAAACACAAATCTTATTCATAACATGAGAAAATTCCGAAATTATTTTAAACCATCATTATTTTACATGTAATTAAAATTCCTAAATCAGTAATTGTTTGAATGATAATTTTAATTTATTTTTAAAATAATCATTGGAAATGTAACTGTTATTCATTTAATCTTTTATAATCTATTATTATTTTCCCAAAACGTAACAACTGTAAGTACTATAAGTAATGAATGTACATTTATCAACTAAATTGTTATGCAAGAGAAGTAATTAGCTTGGAATCTTCAACCACTTGAGTTTTTTTGTGGCCTAAGAAGAAACAAGTATATTAAAAATGAAACAGAGCCACAACTAGCAGTGGAATATAAAAAAAAAAAAGAACAAGTAAAAAAAAAGAGAGAGAAAAGACTAAGTCTTCAAAGTCATGACATAATCACATGCTGTTATCGACACCACATGAGAAAAGGGTAATGAAACCCACTCATCTTCCCTTTAAAAGTTGCACAGCAATCTAGTTGGTAGTAGCAACAGTGGGATTGTCTCGAGGCCTATTTGAAGATACAATAACTTATCGATCCTCTAAGATTAAAGATAGACTCCATCGATGCCATACCATTCTATTCAAGAAACATTAGTCTATTATTTAAAGACTGTATTGATGGAAAACAGCGGACTCACGTATGGCATTAATAATATTATTGATAGCATACCATTACAAGCCTTCCAAAATTGCCACGACCTCACTGATAACAATGCAAACAAGCTTAATGATTTTCCCTACATAGGGAAAACAAATATAATTGGTATTAACCAAAATAAAACCAATACTAATAGAGTGAGTCTTACCATTATAAGCACTATCAACACACAAGCTATAAACCTTACTAGAGAGATGTTTAACATCATCTGCCTCGATTGCCTTACTATCAGTAGCTTGTTCATTAAGCTAAAGGCTTCTCTTGAAATTAACCACCGTGTAGGAATTCCAATAAAACAAAGCTTGGTGGATAAAACCCATAGGTTCAACAAATGGGGTAAGAGCTATTTTACCTAACAAACAGGCATAAAATATATCCAAGACATAACCTTGCTCGCAAAATATATGCTGCCTATTCCATATTCTTTTTTGAGTATAATTCCTACTCCCAATCCAGATAAAAAATAGAGGAGCATTAGAGTACTATTTAGAGGCTGGGCAAATCTTAACATTAAAGTGAAACTCTACTTACTTTCCATATACTGTTTTTTTTTCTAGACCTCTAGCAAATCTTATATGAGATATTAAGTTTTGGATATGAATGAATATATCAAGAATTAATGAATTTTTATTTAAAATATATTATTTTATTGTGATTGGTTTGATTTTTGTTTGACCCTTGTTGAACCTCCCAACCCCTCACCCTTGACCTTGGTCATTTAAGTTCCTTGATATATTGTCTTGGTCAAACAAGGGAGGGAGAGAAGAGGGGAAAATGCTAAAAAAATTCAAATATGGACCCCACTAAAAATGGAAAGACAAAACTACAGTGTGATGGGAGAAATAATCCTTGAGGTTGATAAATATAAATGATCTATAGTTAAATTTAGAGTTTTCAGTAACCTTTCGCATTAGTTGAGAGGCAAAAATACTTTTAACCTTTATTACTATCATGTTTAAAAACTTGATTTTTATCATTTAGGTTAACTCCTACACCTACCATGGTGGTTTTGGTTAAGTAACTAGAAGTATTAAGGGTGATATCATGCTGGTATTCTCAAATGTGCCATCTTTAACACCACACCAAGCTGTAGGTCCGTTGCCTTGAAAATTCCTCTCATGATGTAAAAAACCACCATCAATCTTTGCCGTAATCTCACTATAATCAATAAACTTTTCGCTTAAAGGTACCCATCGGAGATCCTCCACCATCCAATCGAAGGTCCTTTGATGCTTTGATTTTAGAATAAACCAAGACTTTGCTATCAATCCATCACAAAATCAACTAACAAAAAGCTTCACCATTCCATAAATCCTTAAAATCTCCAAATCCAACTTGCATGCATACCTAAACCTAACACTCACAAACACAGCCACCCAAAGCAACTACTCATGCATACCCAATATGCTAGAAAGAAGACGTCACCAAAGACATCAGCATCTCAGAGAGAGAACCCTCCAAGATGAGGGAAGGACAAAAAGCCATAGCAAAACATTTTATGCACCACTTTTTGCGCAAAATGCTACACAGCCACTTATTTAAGTTATGATAACCTTTATCACTTCCATCATTTTTAATTAATTAAGACTACTATTTTAAGCATAACTTAAATGACAATCAATGTATCACAAATAGGAACATGGGGTCAAGATTGGCACCACAAATCATAAATTTTGTAGGAAAATAGAAATTAAAGACTGCCAAAGAAAATTTATATCAATCAAAAATCCAGTTGTTGTTAAAACTCGAATAGAAAATAAGCTTAAATGGACCGTTATTAATTTAAAATGAGTTGTTATTAAAACATAAGTGAATACTTGTTAATAACAAACTAACTCGAATTAACAAGTATAATTTCAAGTTTTAACAATAAACAATCCTTATATGAATTTCATTCAGCGATCTTTGATTAATATTTTCTTTTTTTTAAGAACGGGAAATATAGAAAATGGGGAAGCTACAGACAGAGGAGAGAGAGTGAGATATGATTGGGAGGGGGGAGTAGGGCATGCAAAAGTCTTTTAGTTCAGTTCAGTCCGGTCTAACTTAAGACAAACTTGGTTTGGCCCTGTCTAGATAAAAACTAATCTTAAGAAAAAAGATCAGACTATTTCTTTGGGTTGAATTCGACAAAAGACCAGCATTTGAACCACTTGGTCCAACCTTATAATTTATTTAATGTAGTTATAATTAATTTATTAATTATTATTACAATAAGTTAACTTATAATAGTAATTAGTCATTTTTTGTGTCTTATACTTATAAAATTATGAATATTGAGCAAAATTTTAATATTTACCAACTCCAGTCTTCTTCTTTTATTGATAAAATTTGTTATTAACTTAGTGTTATGGGTTTTAGACACGTTGAAGGTTGTTTAATATTGTTGAAGGTTTTTTAATTTGAATTATTTGTGTTGTAACTAAGATACCTTTTATTATTGGTGGAGATTGTTGTGGAGTTGTTATTGTAATAAATTTTATATGAGTATAAATAATTTTATTATGTTAATTAAATTTATTATGTTGGAATAAATTATTATCCTCATAAATGAAAAAGAAAAAAAATAAAGTGAAACATTGAACAAGTTCGGAATCAATCTTTTAATTCTACTAGACCAGTTCGACCTTATTTGACTTTTGATTATATTAAACCACACTAAATCATAGGTCACCTAATTTAGCTCTTTTCATAAAAATGATTAAATTTTAAATTAAATCAAAATCCTATTAAATTAGTCATTTAGGTACCCGGGAGGCCTTCATAAAAGGCAAGTGAGAGAGAAGCAAGTTGGAGGGAGAGGGACCAAGTAAATGACGCCATAATTGAAAGCTGTGAGTATTGAGATTAGATACGGAATTTGGAAATGTTGTCATTCATGCTTCCATTTAAGTAAAACGCAAGCCGCAAATTGAAGCTTTGAAGTCGGCTCATGACTCATGTCAACCTCCTCTCTCTCTCTCTCTCTAACTTTATCGTCTTCATCCTCACCCTCTCCTTCACCGGCCCTCCTCCCTTCCATTCCTTAAACCCAGAAATACATCTACCACTCCACGCCACTACCACGCACTAGTAATATTTTCACCTCCCCGTCTTCAACGACATTAATTTCTATGTTAATGTCAACGAGGCATTAATGTTTCCAGATTTTACATTTAAAGGGTGTCATTACTCTCATTAAACCCAATGTGTTCTCATCAATGTGAAAGGTTTGTGTTTTTATTTTTTAAAAAATAGGAAGAAAACGACAACAATTTAAGAGAGAGAAGATACAGGGAATTCATAAAAGCAAGAGAAAGGAGTATAGTATATAAAAAAAGACGGTGCTTTTGGTGGTGCGAGCGGAGTACAATGGCTCACGTTGTTTGCGCTTTTTGCAGAGGCTTTTTTCTTCCGGAGGGTCCGTTCGTAATGAAAACTAACCTGGGTCCCCGAAACTAAAAGGCCTCCTTTTTGTGCCCCTCCAATCCCTCTTTCGCCTTCTTCCTCTGTATGGGCGTTACCGCTCAACGTCCTTCCCTCCAAAGTGCAAACCCCAACCTTGCTGCCTCTTCTCTCCTTGCCGTTTCACCAGATATGTCGGCCAACGATCCCGGTTTCATACTCTTCGGCCAAAAGATGTCCTCCTGCTCCTCGGGATCTCAGATTCCGGTCGCCTCTTCTCTGATCCCTTCCAACTCTCCCCCCGAGGTACGTTACTAATAGCCCTTCACCATTCCTGCATCCGCTTCTTGCTTTAGGTTTTCATTGTCGTCTTCTCGTCTGCTTTCGTGTTTCTTCCTGTCTCATAGTCGCCTTCTTAAATATACGGGAAATTCTGGATTTTGTTGTCTTTTACAATGTTCCGACGGGTCTGGGCTTTCATGACCGGAAACAAAATATGGGCTGTGACTTGTGAGGGAATGTGCAGTTCTTCGGCCGTATTTGGTTAAATACCATTAATGCCACCTTTAAACTATTTTGTTGTCACTGGGATTATTCTTCGCTGTTCACGCTTACTGTGCTCTACATGGTTGGTTTCCGGAATTCATTTCAATCTTTCATAAACGCGAAGGGGAGCCAACTTGTCCTGCTCTAGTTATTTCGTTCTTCTTTCTTAATCATGATCAGCTTCTCAGTAAATTTATCACTGAGCGAACAATGACTGTTAGATTTTCTAGCGTGGTGTTTATTCTCATCGGCTGTCTGATGCCTCTTCTTTATACTGATAAATCTATCTGAAATTTCTCTCGTGCTTATCAAATATAGTTAAGCCTGTTTCTAATGTGTTGAACCTGTGACCATGTCTTTGGTCAGATACATGGGGGGGGGGGGGAACAGAGGGGTGATGTGAAAGGCTAGACATTCCATTTCTGAGTGTAAAGGTCAAAAGGAACAACTAATAAAAAAACTTGGATGTGCAATTTGTTCATTTTGTTGGAAAATGAATATGGCATGTTATTTATGTTTTTGTTTCTTGCATTACTTCCGGTGAGCTGTCGATCTTCATTTCAGCTTAATGAGCACTACTGATTGTGATTTACATTTTAGCATGCTTGGAGTAGCTCAAAGAAATCAGAAGTCGGAATGCCTTCCACTGACAACTCCGAACAACAGGATGTGCAGAAGGATGAGCCAATGAAGATGAGCAGCACAGAAGAAATTAAAGCGATGAAGAAACCGGACAAGATTCAACAGTGTCCACGATGCAACAGTATGGACACAAAGTTCTGTTATTTCAATAACTACAACGTGAATCAACCTCGACATTTCTGCAAGAGTTGCCACAGATACTGGACTGCCGGTGGAGCAATGAGAAATGTCCCGGTGGGTGCTGGAAGACGGAGGAACAGGCAGCTATCCTCCCCATACCGCCACACCTCATCATCGTCTGAGGGCACTCCATCTCACCAACTCTTCTCGACACTTGAATCCTCAGCAGCATTCAAGTCAGCCCCACCAGATAATACAAGTACCGTGTTGAGATTTGGTCCAGAGGCCCCTGTTGCTGAATCGGCTGCTTCAATTCTGAATCTTGGAAGTGGGGAGGAGGTATCCAGATGTGGATCTGCTGTGACTAGTGCTGGTGGTGCCCGGGGAAATGAAGTACCAGAACTTCCAATGCAATGGAGCAGACCAGGTGTGTCCAATCAGGTTAATACAACGAATGGCGTGCGATGTTATCCTGCTGCTCCATGGGTGTTTCCAGCGCAGTGGCATGCTGAGAATGGGATTGGCTCACCAAACATTCCCGTACAATTTGTTGCAGCTCCATGCTGGAGTAATGGGAATGTCTGTTCTGCAGGAGGAACAGGAACGGTTTCAGTTGGCTCAAATGGTTGCCTCTCCTCTTCGTCCTCCACCAGTAATGGCCATTGCTCAGGCAACGGTTCCCCAGCACTTGGAAAGCACTGATGAAGAGAAATCAGACCGGTGTTCATTTTCTAGCAGCTAGTTATCGGGCTCATGTTTCCAAGAGAGCACACAATGAGTTCCTTGTTTTATTATTTTTTTTTTTGGGCTGTAATCCTTACATGATCTGGTGCCTATTGCTGGCTTTTAGTCCTTTGCGGAACCAATTTTTATAGATTTAGTTTTTATGGCGTCCTCGATTAAAGTTATTGTGTAGGTTGATCCTTGAGAATCGATGATTCTTGGCGTTTGAGCCACTGTAATCAACCTTTTATTTATCGTTCACAGGATTAAAGATCAGAAGTAATATAAAGATCTGTTTTGTAGCATAATGCCCGTGCAAAGTGCATAAATCTATTCCCCGTGCGCCTCCTCTCTTCGACTGAATCGAATCTTTCCAATAAACGAAGTTGGTGTGGGAATACAAGCTGGGTAAGTTTTGAAGTTTTGGAAAATATCAATCTTGGAAAGAGTTCAATTTATATATATCCAAGTATTTTCCAAGCACGTACTACTTGGGATAAATAATAACGTGAGGTAAAAATGGGGAGATGAGGTTGGTGAACAGTGGGGGTCAAGTCAATCTTTTAAATGGTTGAATGGGGTAAGCAAAGTCATGATTGGGGGATGCTCTCCAGAGTGCAGTGTTGGGCAGGCAAAGCTGACACTTCTTTTGGAGGCTTGGGGACTTTTTCAAAGCTCTCTTTTTGGCAAAGATGAAATCTTTCTTTGACCTGAGGAAAGTTCGGATAAAAAGCCTTGCTTTAAGGCAGTGCTTTTTACGAGGAAAGACGCTTTCACTGAAAAAGCACAGATATTTTACTCCTCAGACCTCACTGAGCATGTCTCTTTCCGAGTCATCTCATGTGAAAAGACGCTCTTTTTGCGCTTGCAGTCATTAAGTTAAGACGAACAAACAGACCCACATCCAGTTCTTTTCTTCTTTAATCCTCCAAAGTAAAAGGTGCCGATATGCTCATTGCATGTGTTTTTGCGAATGAAGAAAACTTAATCACAAGGCAATCCACGAGAAACCACGCCCTCACGCTTACGCACTCCCATTCGTCGCTCAAGCCTGCCACGTCACTGCTCGCCAATTACGAGCATGGAGTATACCATGAAGTCGAGAAAAAAAGAAGTGTCCATTTGTTTGTTGACGTGCATTTTTCATTCTAGAAGACCCCATACAATAAAAAGAGGAGTATTGCATTAACATTTTATTTTTTAAAAATATAATTAGTCTATTAAAATATTAATTATTGTGGTACCATTTACTCTGTTCATTTGGGGGGGGGGGCTCACGAGTGTGAAAAGCATTTAAATCAAACATCAGTACATCATTCGCTTTTGTTATAATCTGAACCATTTAATGGCATTTTGAACATTTAAGTAGTCCCAGTACTGTATAACTTTGAAATGAATGGCATTTATTTTTGTAAGGAGGAACTATTGGTGCAGTGCATTGACCTTGCACCCCGTCCGTTGCTTTTGGCTATTTATCTGTCTTTTCAATCATTTAATAGAACATTAATTGCTTTAATCATGTGGTCTCATTTATGCTAATTTTAAAAGTCAAATGCTCTACAGCACTAGCACTACCATTTATTATTCCATCCGTTTATAAGGTATTTTTCTAGTAAGATCCAATGTATGGAAATATAATGTATGGAAATATAAGATATTTTTATTTTTTTAATGTATCGTTAGTGAGTTTTTTTTTTGGGTAAAAAATATCCTTAATAAAAAAAATTCAACCCTTTCACTTTTAAGCAAGATATCCTATTAAATAATGGCAGACACGAAAATATGGTGACAGGTTGAAAACAATTAATTAATCTATTGGGTATATATTTTGGCTAAAATTATCATATGTTTTTTAATAAAAGAGTAATTATTACTAAAATATATCATGGGTATATTGGAAAATTAAAAAATATGATACAATAATTATACTCCATCTCAGCCAAGATACACCCTCTGTTTTTATAGATAAAAGAAAAAAAAATTATATTACACAATTTAAAAAAATTTATTAACTATAATAATTATGTTTGAAAATAAAAAAATTAGACTACAATATTCTATATTAACTAACATAAACATGCATTAATTATTCTCGTTAATGTAAGTTATGAGAAGTAATTTAGAAAATTTATAATAAATAATTATTAAAATTTGTAATTTTGCTTATAAAACATATAAATCAAAAGTGACAACTTCTCTAACAAATAAAAATGGATAAAACATAAGATAATATTTTCTATACTCCAGTGTTGATCCAAAATATAGAACACTCTAATTCTTTTAATGAATGTTCTCATTAGTTATATTTTAGAAGGATATTAATTTTTCCTAATAGAGAAATATATTCCATTCACATTCAAGATCCAACTTCAACAAAACCAGTAGCCATAACAATTGTAGAAATATATTATATGTTAAGTGAGAAATTTTAGATAACCAAGATAAATTGATTTTAATTAAAAATAATCTAAAAATAGTGATAATTTTTAACCGCTTTTTTTTGGGTAAAGTAATTTTTAACCACTTTGATGTACAAATCATTTTTTAATTTTTTTCTCAATTTCTGTAGAATAAATATAAATGTTTTATATTTTGAATGAGAGAAAGCTGTTGTTGATTAGTAATCAACTTGTAAACAGAAAGAGAGGCATTTACTCAAAAGTGGGACAAGTGGTGTGGAGTGTGAACACCCAACAAATATGGCTATTGTCTTGTGCCCTCCAGCCCTAAAATATAGAAATGGATAAAGTTTGTTTTGATCATATTTTAAAAATCTCGATTTATTTTATCTGTTTTATTAGTTGGTTTTTTCAAATTATTCCCATCTATTACTCACAATTTTGTTCCTTTCAAACACTGGACTGAGTTAATGGGAAAGCTGTTTTAGAAAAATGACGGCAAAATCTTGGCATATTAATATCAAATTATCTAAATTAGCTGATTATTTTAATTGATATGAATGAATTGATTAGGTCCTATGTTCATGATTGAATATTGGGGTGGGCGCCAACATCTCCGTTTAAATTGGGATTAGTAATGTTGAGTGTTGACCCCACACTCTTCAGAGTCATGCTTCCAATCCAATTCTCTTTCCGTAACTCCAATTTTCTTATTTCCAGACTCACAACCACTGGCTTTTTCTGAGCATTCGCATTCAAATCACTCCAAGCTTTCTTTCAAAGAAAACTATTGTATATTTTAATATTGCGTGATATTTTTATTTTAAAAACCTGCTTGGAAGAAATATGAAACGCACTGGTATTTGGGCTCCAGAAGGGAGTGTTGGGCTTTGCAGAGATGGGCTACCCAATCAAATAATGCCATTGCCACTGCTCATTTCAAAATTATTACTTGCCTAAAACACTAGAAATTTGTTATGCTTACCATTTTTTATCCACGCTCTTCACACACACGGGTTCTTTAAAAACATTATAAATATAAATATTATTACTTTTTTTTTTATGCTATTGCGAAGAGTGGTTCTACAATTAAGAGCTCGTTTATTTTAGCTTATTTTACGAAAAAAATTAATTATTTTTTGAAAAAAATATATCTTGTGAATTTTTATGATATTTGTTTAAGCTTTTAAAATAATCAAAATAAAAAAAAATTAAATTTTTAATTATTTTAAGAAGCTGTTTTGAATAGCTTCTAAAAATAATAGTAGATGAGAGGGAGTGTTTTAAAAAGGTGAAATATGCGAATATATCATAAAATTTTAAAATAACAAAATAATAAATCATTTTTATAAAACAAAAATTAAGGAAAATATCATAAAATTTAAAAATAACTAACTAATAATTATTTTTTTAATATTATAACTAAACATAAAATAATATATGTTTTTTATAAAATCTCTACTGAATAAACGGGCCCTAAATACGTAATCAGGAGCTTTGTCAGCGACTCCGTGTGTGTATGTGTGTAATGTACATTCATAAACTACTGAAATTTTCTTTCACAACTAAAGAATATTTTAATTATGCATTTATAGGCTATAATAGAAAGAATTCATTGGACCAGTGTTGGAAGAATAAAATTAAACGGAGCCATTCAATGGCAAACTAACTTGAATATTTCTTGGCATATATAGACGATGGTGAATTGTTTTAATCTACAACACAGTCGAAAATACTAATAAGGAAGATAAACATTGACGGTTTGGATACATCAGGGAAGCTTATTTAGAAGTTGGGGAGTATGCTTGGCTGACAAAGTTTTTTAAATAGTTTTTTCAGTCAAAATCTACATTAGGATAGAAGTTTAATAAAAAAAAAATTGACTACGCTTAGGAGAGCGTTTAAATTAAAAACTAAGTTACCAATGTATTTAAGCTTTCTAAAATTTAATATCTTATAATTTATCAATTTATTTTATATTTTAAAATTATATACATAATTTTTATTTTTAAATTATAGTTTAAATTTTAATATGTTTACTTAAAAAAGAACACATTAGAAACACAAATATTTATTATAAATTCATGTGCCTTTTCATATTGTTGTATAACATCTAAACTTGTTTTTTTTAATTTTGTCATCCAAACAAGTTTTGTTTGTCATGAAATTGAATTTTAAGGGGAAAAAAAGTATTCAAGTATAAATTACTGATCTTTACCCTAACCTTAATTTGTAAACTTTTTTATTCTACATTTTAGTTCTGTAACGTTTAATAATCCAGCCATAACCAGAATCAGTGCATACATTTGGAAGCATAGCACCTTTTAACTGATTAAGAAACAGATAGATATACAGAAAAGATAGAGGAGGATGAATTAGTATAATAATTAAGAATTGAGGCGGCAATATAATCGACAGCAATAAATATAAAAGAAACGTGCGTCGGTTTGACGGAGGGAGACGCAAACAAACGAGTCTGGTATTTTGGTTGCTCCCTCACACACACACACACACACACACACACGCACGCACACATATTGAATATAAGAAGCAAATCCAGCTGTTATTGAAACTGCAATAATAATAATAACTTGGTCCGCCTGGAGGCGGATACTTCAAGGTCCTCAGGATGTAGTATGTCCTCTCTGGAATCTTCACCCTTCTCTGCATTGGTCAACCCCGTCACCTCATTTCTTCTTGGCTCTATTTCCCCCCCTCCCCAAAGTTCATGGTCAATTATATAAGTATAACTTTTTCGATGTCATCCAGATTGACGAATTGATTTTCTTTTCTTTTTTTTGGTTATCATTAAACAAAGTTTGACATGTTGACAACACGAAAATAAACAAATACAGAGAGTTACTTATTCAAAGACCATAATTTACTATTTTTCTTTACGAAAATCCACTATCAAAGTTAAACTCATAATTATTTACATGTTCTTCAGAAAATTAACCAATAAATGTTCATCCTAGAATAACCATGAGTTCGGACTCCGGACAATAATAAGTTTCGGGAAACTTCTCACAAACACGAAATGTGATTATATAAACGATTTTTAAAATGGCTCAATTTCAATGATTGGATTATATAATTATGATGTTGGCCCAAACAAAATTATAGAAATATGATAATTTCTCTCTTTTTAACACTTTCCTTTTTTTTTTGGCCTGATTTTTTCAATACTTTTCAAAATACTGTAATTTTTTTAATTATGACATAATAAGATGGTTAACGTGATTGATAGCTGGATTTTACATAAATAATATCAGACTGATTGACAATTATAGATATTACTATACGTTAAACGCTCGGATGGAGACGAAGTAAGTTCGAACAAGGAAGACTTGTTGGCTGATTTGACAACTTTTCTGGGGACGAAGCCAATAGCGATGGCAATTATATCTCCTTCTCCTCTTTGTCTGTGTGTGTCTATATATATGTGTGTGCTCAGAGATCACAATCCTCTCAAGCAACAAAGCAAATTCACTTGGTAGTCTTATGAAAGCAATTTACGCTGAGCAAATATAGATACCGAGTGATCGATCCAGCAAAGAATGAAAATATCACTTTTGGTGTGCGTCTTGGTGCTGGTGCTCCCCGTGGCATTGGCTCAGCTCAAGGTTGGATTCTATAAGTCGTCCTGCCCAAAAGCCGAGTCCATCGTGAAGCAAGTGGTGCAGAAGCGATTCAACAGCGACAGGACCATCACCGCAGCCTTGCTTCGCATGCACTTTCACGACTGTTTCGTCCAGGTGAGCATCACTTCGTGTCTTCGTTAATTACCCGTTTTTATATTTTACCAGTCATCATTCTCATGGGACTCGCCTATTAAAACCATTCTCCTTCACAGGGTTGCGATGCATCCATACTCATAGACTCCACTGACGCTGAGAAAGAGGCGGGTCAAAACTTGAGCGTCCGAGGATTCGATCTCATCGACCAGGTGAAGGAAAGGCTCGAAGCCGCGTGCCCTTCGACGGTGTCGTGTGCCGATATCATAACACTGGCCACCAGAGACGCCGTGGCTCTGGCCGGAGGACCCAAATATGAGGTCCCCACCGGAAGACGCGACGGGCTGGTGTCTAAAAGAAGCTCGGTTGATTTGCCAGGACCAGATATCTCTGTTCAGGATGCCCTAGATCTGTTTGACAAGAAGGGAATCAAAAGAGAAGAAGACATGGTGAGCCTTATGGGTGGGCACACTGTGGGAAAGGCATTTGGTAGACTTTTGGACGGCAAGACGCCGTCCACAGTGGATAACCAGTACTATAAGCAAATTCTTCAAAACAAGGGCGTTCTCTCTATTGATCAAAACCTTGCTGTTTCTGCGTCAACAAAGAGTATTGTCACCGCTCTTGCAGCAAACAATACCAGGTTTCAGATAAGCTTCGCAAATGCAATGATCAAGATGGGAAGAATTCAAGTTCTGGTTGGTAATGCTGGCGAGATTCGAAAGAAATGCGGTGCTTTTAACAATTAGACACCGCTGCAGGAATTAATGCTGCCTTTTTATTTATTGTGAAATGTGAAATTGTATGTTTGTTTCTATTTATATTTGGAAATTAACGTGAAGTAGTGAAGCCAACATATTGGGTTTAAAATGCAGCAACGCTGTCCCTTTTTTTTTTTCCAACCAATATATAATATCATTACTATATATTGCGAAACTGAATGTTTGTTTCTATATATTATAGACATGAAATAATATGACAAAAAGCTACTTTGATGGCGTTTATTTTCACAATAAGTTAATTGGGCGGTGATTTTTTGAGTTTCTTAAATTTCGTCTCCCCTTCAGCTCGGAGGCATCATAATCATCATCCCCGATTATAGGTACGGACAATTAAGCATATAAGGATAACATTTTTTTTAATGAGGAAACAGGACAGCGACTTTGAAATTAAAGGACGTTCAAAAGGGACAAGTGGAACATTTTAGACGGGAAAAGTTACTCCCTCCTGCCCAAAATATAAAGAATTTTTAAATTAATTTTTATTTAAAATATAAGCAACTTAATACATGTAAAAAAAAATATCTCCATTTTATCTCTTGTATTTATTAACATAAATATTTGTGTAAGTGTATTTCTCACTCATCATGGAGTGCTTTAATAATTGAGACTAGGGGTAAAATGGAAAAATAATATATACTCTCATGGGAATGAGGATTTTATTGATATGTAAATTTTTCCTAAAAACTTCTTATACTTTGGATTGGAAAGAGTACTTTCACAACTTATATCTCATCTTTGAATTTTTTTCCCATTCATATATATGATGTATTTTGTCCACTAAACATTTAGTTTGAAGAAGATGCTTAGTAAGTACAGTTAAGGTTCCAAATTGATGATAAGAATATCTTATAGTTCACGAGTGCAACCTATGTATTTGAGACAAACTATCATATGATAATTTGGCTATTATCCGCAACTAAATTGTTAATATATTTGTAAATTATGCAATTTGAGCCATAACATTTAATTTTATCCGAGTGAGTTTTTGATGTCTAATTCGTCATTAAAAAAAAAAACGGAGGTATAGTAGGTACGCACCACCAAGCAAATGAGGATTAAGATTTTAGAATAAGGAAACCGGACAACGACCAAGAGACAAAGACTTTCAAACAAGACAAATGGAACTTTTTAGAAAGGAAAAAAATGATACTTTACACTTGTGAGCAGGCCTAATTTTAAGATAATAAAACGTTAACATCCTCCTAGCTAGCTATCTAGCTGCATATTTGTGGACGTTTGAGCATGTGGCATTGAGGGCTTGTGGACGTTTTGGTCCACCCTCTTAGAGACAAAGAAAGTCACATATGCATTTGGAAATTGAATGATAAATCATGAACACATAAAGTTTGTGATGTGTCTAACCAAATCACTTAAACTATTTTAATGATGTAGACTATAATTAAGTATACTTAATATAAGGAATTTAAGATGATATCAGAACCATTCAATTAGGGACAAGAAAAAGTAAGGGAAAAGAAGAAGAATGAAAGACGAAGGGGGGGAGAGAGAGAGAGAAGAAAATTGAGTAGATGTAAGAATTTTGAGACTAAAAAAAAAGTAAAAGGCAAGGCAAAAAGAAGAAAAAGAAGGAAAAAGATAGTAAAGAGAATATTAGAGATAAAAAAAATCTCACATTTAAAAATTAAATGATATATTATAAATATATAAAGCTTGAGATGTGTCTTGCTAAATAGCTTAAACTATTTTAATGAAACAAATTATCATTAAACATACTTAGTACAAATAATTTTAAAAACTCGTTACTATCAATTATAAGCTATATTTATAATATTGTTTTGCATGTTAAGTTAAAGTATATTAATTATATCATATCTATATATATATATATATATATTCTCATCATTTACTAATTTGTTTGTTCATAAACATGAGCCATTTTTTTGTCTGACTAAAAATTTGTTAACAGAAAATGCATGAACACTTGAAATTTGTGTGATTATGTTTATAATCCATAAACTTGTAGGTCTAAATCTCTTTATTTATATGAAGACCTTATCAATATAATGATCAGTTTAAAAATATATCTATAAGCATTTATTGAGTTCATAATCATATTTGATTCTTTTTTAACTAGAATCATATCTTGATTCTAGTAAACCCCAAATTCAACTTATGAAAAAAAAATCAAAGAAAAAGAAATTTATCCATAGTTTTAAACTTCCAATAAAAGTAGGCATTGTCTTATTATTGGCTCACCACAAAAGTAATTAAGCATATAGGATTGACTGATGACATTTTGGAAGGTTCGCCCAAAACAGGTGGGCCATTATTCTCGGAAGAAAAAGAATTATTTAGTGTGAACTTAGGAGTAATTAATTTGAAGGTAAGCTAGCTAGCATGTATAGCTCTCGAAATGAACGTACGAGGACGCAGTTCAGCCCAAGATGCTCTTTTTATCTTTTTTCTGTGAACATTTTCGAAGATGTTTGGAGAGATTGCGCTATTTAGATGAATACCTGTACATGATTTTCCAGAATTGAAAATGACGTTCCCCCAGTGTGCATAGTTATCATCGTGTTGACTCAGGATCGGTGGATATTAAGTTGAGGCCCTTGTGGTTATGTAAGAATGAATATTTAATATGGTTGAATAAGTTAATTATATTATTTATTATTATGTTAAAGAAGGACAAATCATCCAGGGCAAGCTGGATAGATCTCAATTATAAATAAGGATGATTTCATTGGGACCAAAAGTACACAAGACAATTACGGAGGAAAATCAACAAGCATGTCGACACACAAAAAGACGAAGATGAGTGCAATACTGCTCTTATTCTTCTTCTGTTTCTTCCGCAAACTTCCCTCGGGATTTGGAGCTCTACAGGTTGGCTTCTATGGCTCTTCCTGTCCAAAAGCAGAGTCCATTATACAGCAAGTGGTGCAGCGTCGTCTCAGTGGCGACAGGTCCCTAGCTGCAGCTCTGCTTCGTTTGCAATTCCATGACTGCTTCGTTAGAGTAAGACGCTATAATGATGCAACACTTCTGTTTCGTTCCATCCAATCGATTACTTTATATTCGTAAACATACATCCCGATGAACACGTAAAATAACAATGCATGTATGCATGTTTCTTCCAGGGATGTGATGCTTCGCTTCTGATAGACTCCAGGAATGGATCGAGATCGGAGAAAGGTGCGTTTGATAGCTTGTTCCTTCGAGGCTTCGATGTAATTGACGAGATCAAAGAAAGCCTGGAAGCTGAATGCCCTTCTACGGTTTCGTGTGCCGATATCATAGCCCTTGTCGCAAGAGACGCAGTGGGCCTTGCCGGAGGACCCAAATATGACGTTCCCACAGGGAGGCGCGATGGCCTTGTTTCGAATGTCGCCGATGTAAAACTACCACAGCCTGATTTTCCAATGAGGCGAGCTCTTCTTTCTTTCACCGATGTTGGGTTAACATTAACTGACATGATCACCCTTCTGGGTGCTCATACGCTTGGTGTTGCCCATTGTGGTTTCTTCGAAGACAGGCTTCAACCAGGACCTGGGAATCAACCTGCTGATGATCACCCCCCAATGGATCCTGTGTTGAAAGCTAAGCTGGCCAAGTTTTGTTTTAATGATGATGATCGCACTGCGTTTATGGACCAAAACACACCCTTTGTATTTGACAATTCATTCTATAAGCAGCTTCTTCGCAGAAGGGGCATATTGGAACTGGATGAACGTCTTGCTTTTGATAATTCCACTAGAGCTCTTGTTTCCAGGTATGCAGCAGACAATGAGGAGTTTTTGCAGAACTTTGCGAGAGCCATGGTCAAGATGGGAAGCATTCAAGTTCTGGATGGAGAGAGAGGGGAGATTAGAAAAAATTGTAGGGTTTTTAATAATCCCAAGTAGAGCTATTTATACTTGAGAGACTAGCTATAGCTAGCTAGCATCCTGATCAGAAGGCGTTAAAATTGAATAATCAAGCCACGTGAAATAATTATAGCCAGTTCCAATGGCTTAAGTATCGAACTTTTGTTTGCATGCTATCCACACATGTTCACGTCAGAAGTCGGAAAAAATAAAAAACACAAAAATCCCTCATGGAAATGGTTTAACTGAACTCTCATTAATTGTTACTGAATTGTTACATGCATAGTCAGAGAGTTAGTTAATTAGTTAGGTCGCTGTTGGGGATGTATGGTTCACAGTATATTACAACTCCGATGAAGCGCTGAGATGCCTAGATTCTGCCCCCTTTTGTTTCATATTACTTGTAGGTGTTTTTGAGAAAAATCTTTTGTTTCATATTACAAGTCTTGATAGAAATTCAAACTAATTAACCTTTATGAATATTTTTCTTGATTTTTCCCATTCACTTTGATGATTTTAAATGAGAGGCAAATTTATAAAAATAAATTATGGGCAAATTTAGTATCGTGGTTCAAAGTATTAAAAATTAGACTGGTTTTTAAACTGGTTAAAGTTTTGGTTCAAAAGACTAATGACAAAAAACATAGTCAAACTATGGTCAGATTAGTCTTGAGCAAATTATATTTCATTTTAAATAGACCAAGACACTACTGGTTTCAATGGTTTATTGATTTGACCGGTTAGATTAACCTAGATTTCAATACCATGTTGTAGTCCATGCTTTCATATATTTTAATTTGTATGCAATAATATTAAAAGACCAACGTTATAAAAAGAAATTAAAGGATGTTTATTGAGAAACAAGTTCATTGATTTTGGCTAAAAACACTACTAAAAAAATACAAATTAATGAGAGAATTTAGTGAGGAATTATCTATTCCTCTCTAAAATACCAAATTAGAGATAAATTTAGTGAGGAATGTTGATTTTATAGCTTGACTTAAAATTAACGAAAAAAATAGCGAGAACCGTCAATCTAATGGGAAGAAATAGAAAAAGAAATAACTAAAGATATTACAAGGATATTATAGATGTAAAGATCGAAGATATTTTGCTCTCATATTAATTACACATATTTTATTTTAATTTAAATTATTATTATCTTTTAACATCTATTATTATCTTTTCATTTATTGTTTTTTTACTTAATTTTAGAATTTCTAGACTTTCATGCATTTATTTTTAGGGTTGGGTTGAAGCCTATAAATAACACTTTAACTCATTTAATATGCACACACATTTGATTAAATAAAATTACTGTTATCTTATCTCTCCTCTAAGTTTTCTTGTTTTTCTTTTTTCTCTATTGATTCCTTTCTTTCTTTTCTATACTCTCTCCCTCTTCTCCTTCCTTGTTCTGCATCACAATCCCTCTATAAAATAAGATAATTAATAAAAAAAATAACAAGTGACTGTCAATCCCTCTATAAAATAAGATAATTAGTGAGAGATTATATCCCTAGTTAATTACTGTTAAAAAATTTAACTTTTGGCAATAATTTTTAATTATATATTTATTTATTTTTATTTAAAAATAAAAAATAAATTTAAAAATTAACTAAAATTTTCATAATAAAATTATTTAATATTTAATATTTTGTTTATTTTAAGTTCATTTTCATTAATAAAATAATATTATATTAAAAATATAATATAAAGAATAATTTAAATAAAATATAAATATTTTTAACAAATTAATAATTGAAAATAAAATTTAATATAACTATGTATTTTTGTAATATATTATTTGACATATTTGTGCAATTAAATAATATATATTTAATTTTTCATATAATGATTACAAGTACCTTTCAGTTCAACTGGCAAAGAATGAGAGCATAAGGCTTGAAAGGTAAGAGATTAAGGGTTCAACTCTTAACCTTAGTGTAAACATAATGAATACATAGTGGACGATGACATGTCATAAGTTATCACACACTTAAGGGGGTGATGGTTGACGAGGTGCAAAGTTGTTGATAACATGTCACAAGTTAATGTACACATGGCGAATGATGTGGCACCACTATTTTTAAATATAGATATATTTAGTGAGTGTTTTAAATAGTATGAGTAAGGGATTAGTGAGAGATGTGGCTTTCATTAAAAATTAGCAAGGGACTAAATCCCTCACTAAATTTAACGAGTTATTTTTTAGCTACAACTTTAACAAAGAATAAAATTTCTCACTAAAACACAATTTAATTAGCAAGAGAAAATGATATTTAGCAAGGGATATGCTCCTCGCTAAATTTAATTTTCCTATTAGTGAAAATATTCCATATTCCTATTTTCTTTAAGCGTCCAAATTTTCAAATGAGGTCCCCTTCAAATGGAAACCTCTCTGCATGCCTCCTGGTTAGTAAACATGTACCAGCACCACAACATGAAACTGAGGGAGGAACATTTTCGGAAGATTTTTTAGAGGCTCGGCTATATACGGCTAGTTGGTTAATGGAATGCAGTTAACCCCCTAGTAGGTTCCATCAGCCTAATCGCTTCACTATATTACTTTATTATGCTGCCAGAGAAGGCCCAAGGATGAGGATCCATCGTCGGCAACCTTTGGTTCCACCCAGAGCCCATAAGTACATGCACGACTCAATTGCCACCAAAACCAAGGACGCATGGCTACACTCAATAACACTAACATGACTCCAATCCTACCTCTACTCTTCTTCTTCTCCTTCCACCAACTTCCCTCTAGATTTGGTGACCTGCCGGTTTGGTTTATGTGCCGCTACTTGCCCTGAAGTGGAGTCCCTTATCCAGAAACTGGTGCAGCAACGATTCATCCAGGATTCATCCTTGACCGCTGCTCTGCTTTGCTTGCAGTTCCATGACTGTTTTATAAGTAAGATCCCACTAGCTAGCACCATATATATCTTGTAAGTTTGTTAACTTTCATTTCATCAATTGATTATCACGTTGAATATGTATATATATAACTACTTTAATGTTTTCTTCTAGGGATGTGATGCCTCTATTCTTATAGACTCCACGGAGGGAAGTAAATCAGAAAAGGACGCAAAGGATAGCTTCTTCCTTTGGGGATTCAATTTCATCGATGATGTCAAGGAAATCCTGGAAGTTGAATGCCCTTCTATCGTCTCGTGTGCTGATATCATTGCACGTACTGTAAGAGACGTGGTGGCTCTAGTAGGAGGACCTAAGTATAAGGTCCCCACGGGGGGGCGCGATGGCTTGGTTTCAAATATTGATGAAGTGGATGTACCACAATCCTGATTTTTTAGTGGGATTCACTCTCGAATTTTTCCTTGAATTTGACCTCACTCTAACCGACATGGTGACCCTGTTGGTGCTCACACGGTTGGCCGTGCCCACTGCTCATTCTTCTCGAACAGGCTTCCAAGACCTAGGAATGAATCCTCTAACCCTACATTGGATCCCGCATTGAAAGCTGAGTTGGTCAAGTTATGTTTTACCCCTACGAACCTGAAGCCACTACATTTTTGGACCAGGGCATGTCCTTCGGTTTTGACAATTCATTCTACAAGCAGCTTCTTCTCGGGAAGGGTATATTGAAACTGGATCAATGCCTTGTTTTTGATAACTCCATGAGAGCTCTCGTTTACAAGTATGCGGTGAACAATGAGGTGTTTCTGCAGAGTTTTGCAAAAGCGATAGTGAAGATGGGAAGCATCAGTGTTCTGACCGGAGATGAAGGGGAGATTCGAAAGAATTGTAGGGCTTTTAATCATCCCAGGTAGAACACTCAAGTGTTCGGGGGCATTTAGAATTGAATAATTGCAAGGCATTGCTTATTTGCTTTTATGTTTTATTTGGTGGGCCACGGACGGGAAGCCAGGAAGAGTGGATAGCAACTTTGTGATGATCTAGTGCTTTTCCTCATAGCGCTTTACTTTTAAAGACAATATCAACTACTATTTAATTTCTTAACTGCTTTTTTCCCTTTAACATTTTTCAATGTACCTTGTGTGTGTGTGTGTGAGTGTCATCCTAACATTAATGTTTATTTTCAGAGAATTTTATATAGATATAAATATCATTTATATATCACTTAATTGGTTCTTTTTTCTTTTATTATGTTCATTTAAATATGAATGGAGAAACTATTTAGATTAACTTTAACATAACAAAGTGGCTAAGATTTAAATATAGCATCCAGCTCTCTATTGTTTTTTTTTTTTCAAAGCTACGTAATAGGCCAAATCGACCACGAGCAAATTCAAAGATTACAATAAATTCTACGAGACTATGATATTTTTACACGAAAAACTTATTTCATTAATTGTAAAAATATTTTAGTTCAAATATTTTAATGTCAAGTATAATTATGATGTCTAACCAACTTTTTCTTGAATTATGTAAGTTGGTTAAAATTTCTTTACATGTGAAAAAGAAGGGAGGATATGTTTTGGATTATTCAAAACTTAGAGGAAAGGGCTTACATTTTGGGCCAGAGGAAGTTCCTCTAAAAGAAAAAAAACGTCGATAAAACTGTATCCATATTATTTGCAAATAATTAATGAATATATTAGATATCAACAAATCAGCTATGATTAAATAAAAGCAAATTCAAAAACAACTTGGAATTAATGATTTCAAAATCGAATTGGACCAATCGATTGAATCGCTGACCAGTTACTCTAACGGCTCAATTTAAACCATCAATCCAATTTAGTTATTGAGTTGGATTGGACTGTTCTTAACAGTTGAACCACGTATTGCTTAAAACCTATGAATCGAAGTGGTTGAACAAAGTAGCCCAAATTTCATACTTTTAGATTACGTAGCAATTTCAATTTTTTCTCACATTTATATTATATATATGTATATATTTAAATTTAATTATTATGGTTTAACATTTAATCTAGTTCTAAAAACATTATTTGGAATATCAACTGATAACAAACACATTTTTTGTGAGTGCAATAGTTAAAAATATCTTTTTTGTATGTTTTTAATTAGAGAGACCATAACTTTTTCAAAAAAAAAACTCACATGCACACAATTCAAGGATCACATTAGAAACAAAAACTTTAAATTACATTAAATGAATCATGTTGTTAGCCCAAACTTTAAAGAATGGAGTTGGAAAAAATGCCAGCTATTAATAATCTCTGAATATTTATAGCCACCATCTTCTTTTCAAGTCCATATTCTCTCTCTGGTTTTTTTTTTAATGCAAAGTTAAACTGTTAGGAATGGGGAGAGACCACTCAGGAACAGGGGGAAAGGAGAGAAGGGCAATAGTAGTGGAAGGACATTGCATCTTAACTCAAAACCTCAAGGCTCAAGTTTATAGATCATTCATCTTTATTATATATTAGTATTAAGCCTAACTTTATTCGATATGAGACTTCTCACATCATTTTTATTCCACTCACACTTAAATAACCTAACAATCTCCCTTTTAAGTGTGAGTTCACGAGCTTCCCATATCAAAGACGCCCTAAATACTAAGTCTCTATTTTTTTAGGGCTAACCCAGGTCAGTTTCATTTTAGGCTTCAAACGTGTGAGTAATAATAGGCTTATAGGTCCTAGGCGAAACTTGACTCTGATACAACTTGTAGAAAATAGGGAAAAATTGCCTGGGAATAGGGGGAAAGGAGAGAAGGGCAAGAGTAAAGGAAGGACGCCACATCTTAACTCAAAACCTCAAGGCTCAAGTTTATAATCCTTTCTCTTTATTATATATTAGTTATTAAGCCCAACTTTATCTACGTGGAACTTCCTATATTAGTCTACTCTCATTTAAACAACTTAACATAAACTTTATTAAATTAAAATATTAGTATAGCAGAAAGACCTACTCAAGAAATTAGGTCAGTACATAAGAAACAAAAAAAAAACAACACAGGGAATGTGGAATTGAAAAATGAAAGCACAATAGAAGGGCCCATTAAAAAAAGTCTAGAGTTGCACACCTAAACTGATTTGTAGAGAAACCTAAATAGCAAGCAATAATTGAGGGATGTTGAGCATAATGCAAATATACAGAAATGATTATAACCAACCTCAAGATAACATCGTACCAAATGAGGTATTCAAGAGAGAACTTAATGTTCTCAATTTTGTAGTTACTTGATTAGAAAGCCTTAGGCATTTACAACTAAGAAATAAGGTAGAAGTTTGAGCTAAGAAGGAGCTATTATTTAAAGACACACTAGCTTGAAAACATAAACCTAAAAAATAAAGACAAGTAGCTTGAACTAATGAACACCATAACACTACCTATTTTGTGGTGTTCATACTCAGCTATGATCATGTGTCTAGCGAACTAGCTTTTATGGCACAAAAGCTAGTAAGACCTAAGGAATGGTTGAAGCTTAAAGCGTTCAAAATTTATGCATAGAATATTTGTTAAGCAAGTTAGTAAAAGGCGAGTGTTGCAATTGTTAAATTCAAAGAAGAATAGTGAAGTCTTTTAACGATTTATAGACTGGTAGTGAGTTAAAAAGTAATCGAGCCTCCAGCCATCCTTAAACCAGTACTTATGCTTCTTATAGTTCCAACGATAACCCATCTTATAAGAGAAAGAGGTTTCCAAATTTGCTTGAGTTAAGTCAACAGACCTCCAAGTAAAACCAAAAGACTAAATAAATGAACTTTGGTTAGTGACAAGTTCAACAGTGATGCCAGTAACTAACTTAGTAATTAAAGAAGGCTTAGGGACTTCATAATGCTTAAGCCACTTGACAAAAGCCAAAATTTGATTTCTCAAAAAATCTCTTCCTCTTAGATATGGCAACCGAAAGAAACTCCATTTGTAAAAGATCATGCCAACTACCATGTAAGGATCGTGCACAACTGGAAAAAGCAAAACAAGAAAGAAGGGCCTTTAGAACTTGTGATTGGGCTAATGATGAGGACATATTCAAAGTAGGCCCAAGTAAGACACCCTTAACCCTACTCAAATCATAACTATGCCCATTAAAGAAAATAGAGAAGACATAACTTTTAGTCCTTACACTTTACATTCATTTTGTTATTAGTCCCTACATTTTTTTAGTATTTTGAGTCCGTAGATTTTTTTTGGTATTTTAACTAAAATTGCTTAGCTTCAATCTTTGATTCTTGAAATTGGTCTGAAAATTAATTGAATTCCACTAGCTTAGTACAATAATTTGAGTAATGCTGCTACTTTAAAGTCAAACCTCGTCTACTATGTGAGAACCAAACACATCAAATTAGATATGCATTTCATTCAAGATAGAGTATTGGACAAACACTTGAGTGTTCAATATGCTCCATCATTAGATAACATTATGGATATATTTATGAAAGCTGTGACACACTCTTGATTTTTCACCCTCAAAGACAAAATCAAGCTTTCAAGAACTCTAGCCTCTCATTTGAGGGGCATGTCAAGATATTGGCTATTTAGTTTAGTGATGAGATGTCCAAGCCTAATTGTAATAAGGCCTAAAGAAAACTATGTTCAGGCTAACCCATTAGATTCTTTGTTATAAATACCTATAATTCTTATTTGTATTACGACATAGCTTATTCTTATATATTAAGGTTTTACCCTACTCCTATATATAATAATAAAGATCCCCTGGTGCACCTTTTTACACACAATTCTATTTTTTCTATTTTATCGTCTAACCAACATAGGACAATGGGAGACAAAATGACCAAATCGATAGCAAGAGCAACATAACCAACTAACACTTTCAAGTAAAATAAAAATAAAAAAAGAAACCTTAAGGGAAGAATGAATAGACAAACAAGGGAGGCTAAAAAAATCAGAAACCTAAACTCTAATGTGTAAACCTTTGTTAGAAAAAAGACAAGATTGATCACAACAGATAAAAGAACCAAACTTGTTACCAAGAAAAGAAGTCGTGAATTTAGTATAGTAGTCAAACGGGAGACAAAAAATACAAATTTAAACATGCACAAAAGAAGACAAAGAAGAAGAAAAATTAAAGTTTTCATTCCAAACAGAAACACAGATAGAAAAATCTTGAAGAAGTAACAAACACTGGTTGAAACAAATTGTAAATTAGATTCAACTTTAAAGTAAATAAAAAAGTATTTGGGCTAAATATGAAACATCGCTCAAATAGGTCACGAGGCTAGTTGGGCTGAGTAATCGAAACATCAGGTCCAATATAAATAAAAGAGGCCGACCCCAAAGCTCAATAAAGTCCACAACACATAAACATGCCGAAATCTCATCAGCTTCAAGTATCAAATCGTTGGCAAGAAGACACGATCCTAGGTGATGTTGAAATCTATGCTTAAGTAGTTCGGTGAAATAGGTTATTGATCAAAATAGAGAGACCGTGCCATAAGTTTTGTAGGATTCCTGAATTTTCGATAGAACGTGCTAAGTCTTAAAGAAAAGGCTTCTACCATCAAACACTATAAATAGAAGGAAGAAAAATAGAGAAAACTAGTCAACACTCAATCAAGACACACACGATTTGCATTTATTAGCCCTCTTCAGTTCTTAGTTTTTTATTCTATAATTTTCAAACACTTTAATACAATTACAAACTTGTTCTACCAAATCCTACTATCTTTTTACATTCGAGTGAACTGCGGTAAGGGAACTTAGGACCCTTTCATTATTATTGAGACTTAGCATCTCTGGCACGCCTAGTATTTATCATTCAATCCTAAACAATTTGTGGCACGCCTGGTGGGACCTGTGTAATAAAGATGGCAAAGACAAAAAAAGATAAAAGGACTGATGAAACAGGTGCTAGTTCTCATGAACCAGAAGGGATCTT